CATCTTTACTTTTAATCACAAATACACGTTTGCCCCATTAAAAATGTCAGCTTAAAAAACTAACATGTTTAGAGGTCTGGTCTGGCCTGAAGATCACATTTGTCCTGTATCAAACGGACAACGTGACGCCCACAATACACAGGATCTGGCTTCGAGTCCCGTCGGGTGGCTGATGTGAGACTGCAATTGCCGTTCAATATTGAAAGCCCAATTTAATGGCATCATGAAGCCTCAGCTGGTACTCTCTAACTCATCTCAATCGAGGATTTATTCACCAAACTGGCCCCAAATGTATAATTAAATGGGAATTTTGGCCCTACAGAGGTCGCTTCTCTAGAATGTCATTATCACTCTTGTTGCGTCTTTCTACTCGACCCGACTTTCGCCGTCGGATTTCTCAGATTTCCCTTTCTCCCACCTCCGGCACGTTTCCTCCTGCCCGGTGGCCACCAGGTCTGGCTTCTTTTGGGACCGTTTCACTCAAACCCTTTCGCCCCGAGGATCATACTCCTCTTGGTCGGTCTCTCAAGGTTTCCGTATCTCCGTCATTTTAGTCAATCCGCTGTGTCAACTTGATTCATGTAGACCCCATTGTCGGGCCGGACGTCATGGGCAAACTCCAACATTCAGCTCCTGTACATAGAACCAAGTGGGATTATGCCCTCAGCCTCCGCTGCAGCACTCGAGCGAATCTGTGATGGATCGGTACCTCGTGATACTCCCCATGATAATCCCATAAGAGGCTTTTAGCCATTCGTATCTGAGTCCTCAGATTGATCAAGCCCCACCAGCTTTTGTGTAGATGTTCCCACTCCCACTTCCGACCTCTCTTATTGGACCCAATTTTCACGTCGTAATTGGTGCCAAGATTGCGGTAGCAAGGTTAGAGATTCAAGGGTCGATTTTGATGTTACTATGACGTTCAGGTTGACTTAATTCATGACAGATCCTTCTTCGATTCCCATGAAAACCGATAGATCCTTCAACTATTTGAAGAGAAACTTGGTTTCGAGGAATTCCTTAATAGATTGATGTTGACGTTCCTTTCATCTGAGTCGAAAAAGCATATGGAAAGGATTCGTAAACTGGCCTCACCTATTATCGAAGGAGGATTGCATTGTGGACAGTGTGAAGAAGATCTACGATCCCAAATAAATTTGTTTCAAGCTTTAATCCATCATGCGACAGACAAAGGTAGAGACAGAAACTATGATTAGCAAAGAAATTCAACAAGAACACTTTTCATAATTGATGCTTCTGGCTCTGACAATGTCCGGCCCATGACTGACGAAAGCGCATCACTCTTCGACCAGATTGAGTAATTGTCAATCGCGCGGTCTCCGTCCTAAGATCGTCTTGTCAACGGGCTTCGAACCCGAGGCCTTGCCCAAATTGACACTGCGACACCCTCGATTGTGCATGAAAATCCGTGTCCGACACCCTTACACTCGGAGTCAGCCGCTGGTACCACTTCTCATGGAGTGTGTCTGCCATTACCGACTTTCAACTCTTCGCCCATCTCACGAGACATATAGTATGGTGTTGGCAGGCGCCAAATCAGGTCTTCACATGTCCATGTGCACACGAGTGCACAACATGGTAGTCCTCTTGGCGGGACCCACGAGACATGCCCACATTTGAAATAGCCGGTAGTGTTGCATAAGACTTTGCCCACACAACCGGCATATGCCGGTGCGTGGTAACAGCATGTGAGAGTAACCAGATCTTCGGCACAGCAGAACAAACTCCGAACAGTCGAATCTGACAAAGTACATCTCAACAGAGTGTTGATTTGGCCTATTTTTCTCAACTTTGTCGTAATGCCTGGTCAACCAAGATGAACTTTTCTTGTCCGGACTCCTCTGCGCGAATAGTCATGAAGCGTCGGGTCATGGACTTGGTACATTCCCATATATCTTCATTTCTAA